AAAAATCTTTTGTAGTGAACACCAGGTCAACACCAAACTTAGGCTAAAATATGATATTATTTGCCATCTGAATTTAACCATTTGTTTATTATTGTTCCTTTAGCTCAGACAGCATGGGCACCTTTTACCCCATATACCATACTTTTTCATATTCAAGTTTTTGTCACCTAGTGGTTTAGAGGAAAATCCTTTTTACCCTGGTGCGCCTTTAGCCCAGTTGTACCCTACTCATTGAGGCATTTGTGTTTTTCAGTGTATTGTATTTTGAATTTATTTTGATGTTGTTTTATTATGGGAGTTACTGATGTTTCCCATACTGTGCTGAGTACTGTTGTTTTAGCAAGGGCTTTTGGGGCCAAAGTGCATCACCCTGCTCAGGAAACATCTGGGAAGTCAGCGAGATTTGTGTTTCCCCTTCTGTTTTTCCAAAATAGATGGAAACTACTCACCCCGGGACTTAGCTTCTGTAAAGCACATCAGTCAAATTCTGATATCTACCCCAGAATTTCCAGTTCATTGTCCATTCTTGGATAGATATATAAATGATCTGTGCCACAATGAAGAGCCCTACTTAGAAAGCAAACTACTAATTACACTATATGGCAGTTTTTAAAAAGTGGTTCCAGACTGTCTCAGGAAAAGTCATTCTTTAGCTTCTTCATTATGCTCAGGAAATTGTTTGTGCGTGTTGTGTTCGCCATAACATCGGTAAGCAGGCCCAAACGGAATCTGCAGACCTGTTTTCACATTTTCTGTGCTTATTTTAAGAAAAATTTTGTTGAATACATTTTTGTAATATGAAACTAAAGTAGTGGTCGACACATTGGTAAACAGGAACATGTTCTGCAGGCACAGATTCCGTGTGCGCCTGCTACAAAAGGGCTGATTTCTGAATGAATGTTAACTTGTGTATTGGTTTTCCATAGTGCAATTGTTTTTATTTTAAAATATATTTTAAGCTTGTGTGGAATGTTTCTAATTTAACTAATTTCATGTTTTCAAAATGTAAACGTGTGTCATTTGTGCATTTGTACATGGTCTTCTGAATCCTCCTTCCAGATTATGAATCTCTGAGGATCGGTGGTATGGTCTTTGCCGTGATACTCTTCTTGATGGGCATCTTCCTCATTGTCAGTGAGTGCCAAACTATCTGCGTACTAGGCTGCGAACGAGTTATGTTTTAATATCACGGGAGCATGGAGTTGGTTAAAATGTAGCGTTTCTATTGCATTTCTTACAAAAACATTATATACTGCATGGCATCAAATAGATACTCCATACATTATAGATAGACATATTTGAACAGCTTATGTATATTTTTGTCGATATTGGTCTAAAGTGGATCCGTGCGCACAGATAAACAAATATCGGTTACTCAGCGTAGACTGGTGTCAGGCCAGCATGTCTTTCATAACCTCTAAGTTTAAACCTCTCTACGATACCCAACACCGCACCATGCCTTATGCTTTATGGTGTTCCTTCAGTGCAGGGACAAGCAGCCAGTCTAACCCTTGACTCTTACTCTGAAACCCCCAACAGCCCTCATAAATTACTACTGAGAAGCTGTCTGTTATACAGACCATATGAGTTGTTTAGAAGGACCGCAATGTGAAAATTCTCATCTTACAAAGCAACAAAATGTTATGCGCTACATCTAAGACGACATGTGAATGTATTTCTCTTGTATGTCATAAACCACTATTTGTTTGGGTCTGATTTCTGGTTTGTTTCCTATAGGTCGGAAATGCCGCTGCAAAGGGAAAAAGTCAAAGTAAGGGGCAAAGAAAACTATAATGAATCTTATTCTACCAGAATGTTCAGGTTAAAGCCAACAGAAAGCTAATTGCTTTGACATTGACTTCTGTGTGACACTATTCACTATTGACAATGGACCTTTTTGCTACCGTTATGTTGCTAATGTGACCACACCTTTAAAGTCAGCATAAAAACAGAAGTTGTAATAGTCTTTTCTTCCATATTTTCACATAAATCGCTTCTCAGACAGGAAAGAATTTAGAGTGGGACTTGATTTTGCCCATCAAAAAAAAAAAGGCCATGACATGTGAGTATGGTGATCACCCGTCCCGCAATGCGTACCCCTTTTCCCGCAGGTCGCATATATTGAGAAAATGTCCCGCATTTTCATCAGATTGGTTTTTAAACTATCATATTAAGAAAACGTGCTTGCGTTCTTTTGCTTTTTTAAGAAAGCATTTTATTTATTCGTTTTGTGGCTTAGTTTTCCACCTATTTCACCCTTCGTCAGAAGTAGATACAAATACAACAGCCGTTTAAATCCTATCCAATGGTTGAAAAGAAAGGAGTAAACACAGTCACTAGTAGGTTGTGACGGCTTTCAATCAAATTGTGGACCGGTGATTTGTGGTTGTTTTAATTCACATCCTTTCTAAAATTATGATATATTCTTAATATATATATATATACAAGACTCAATCATCTAATTTCATGTTGTTTATATTTTATTTGTTCATTGTTTATTTTGTTGGATTTTAGTTGGACTTGGTTAGAACGGTTTCAAAAATAGTTATCTGCACGATGCTTGCTGCCTTTGGACTCAGGGATGTTGAATTTAAATGACATGTAAAATACAGACATGTTATGTTACATTGTGATGTAATGCTGTTTTCTGGACATGACTTAAGATAATTTTTATTAGCTAAAAAGGTTGAATACAAATGTTTTTATTAGGTTAGATAGACATTATATAAGAGTTTCAGGTTATGTTTTAGTATAAGTGATATGTCCCACAAAAACTTATAATCGGTGTGTTTGATGGTGCTCACCCTACATGTGTGACAGGTTGCCCCGCCCTCACACCGTAAACATCAGAGAAGAGAGAGATGCAGAAGGGCGGGGGAAGTTATCTTGATTAAAGGGCACACAATTTATTTATATTGAATATTGCAATACTCCTTAAAACAATAATTGATCATTTTGTTTTCATGCTGACTTTAATAAAGGTTCCAATTGTGACACCTTGTTTTGTAATCTTAAGCAGAGAACCGTCTATATAATCTCCATTTATTTCTGTGCTGTTCAGAATAGATCTTTGAACTTTTTGTCGCTTTTGTTGTCTCTTTATCTGCTTCACAGGCCAGTGGGAATTGACACAGAGGCAGCCAGAGGTGAGAATGTTCTGTTTTTTTGGATTCATGAAACTTAAACGAAACAGACATTTACTGTATTTTTATTGCAGGTGCTAAATAAAGTAAACCAGGGGAACAGAGAAACAGGTGACACTGCCTCTACTTTTGCATTTATTGTGATGTTATATATCCTGCATTAATGTTTAAGACTATCTCTGTTGTCTTTTTGTTCATTTGACAGAAAGCATGGCTTCTTAAGGAGTATCTTAATCAAATCTGTGGCCATTTGGAAGAAATGGTCCCTTCAGGATTTAGTTCTAGTGTTCACCACAGTTTTTAAATTTGTATGCCAATATTTCTTTGTCTCTTGGATGCATGATAGAATGAGTGCTCCTTTTTAAAAATGAAAAGGTAAAAAGTAAAAAAAAAAAAGTTTCAAGAAAACTGTTAATTGTCAGCTAAACTACTTTGCCATAGAATGAATTCAGCACCTGATATCTGTGAGATTTGTGCCAAGTTTTTGTCACGTGCTTTTCAGCTTTCTCTGAAGTTTGTGATATGCTTCGTATAGTTTGTGTAAGGGCTCAGTAGCTAAAGGAAATAGTTGGCATTTTATACATTTTGTAAATTGTCTTTCCAGTTTTTGTCACTTTGCTGAATTGACAATAAAACTGTACACTGTAGTTGAAAAATGAAGTGATTTCTATGGAATTTCTGTTAAGTGTCATCGAGAAAATGACGTGACGGTTATGTAACATTTGTGCTTGGCATCTGTCTCTACTATTCAGTGTGTTATAAATAGTTGACCCTGTTATTAGTGCAACCAGTTTGATCGTGTGGCTGATTTTGCAATATTATTTAGATTCTGTAAAAAAATAAATAATAATATCTGTGCATGTTACAGATATCATGATATTATACACGGTTCTCTGATATTTAATTCTAATTGTTCAATATTTTGTAGAATGAATATTGCAGCAAATCGCCACAACTTGGGGTAGCTCATTGGCGACATCTTGCGATTGAAACCGATTACTACGACAACAAATGCTAATACAAATGGCATGTTTACATTTACATTTACATTTGTAACGTGAGAACTCCTAAATTAAATGAAAAGCCGAAAATCCGAAAATAAGTAGATATTCTTAATAAATATATATATATATATATATATATATTTAAACATTTTATAACACACCTCTCCATAACATGACATTTTTTTAATTTTCACTTTAATACTAACATTTTCACGTTTCTAATGTCAAGTGGTAGTCCTAATTTGGAAAGAAAATGGTCAATTATAACAATTAATTCAACTTTTATTGTAGACCTATGGAAAGGGGCAATTAAAAAATACACAGATTTTTTTTCATTCCCTTGCTATAATTTTCCATTGTTCAACATCGCCCTAGATGTGATCGCTCGCATATCATGTGCAGAGTTTAGATCTGCAAGACGCGCTTTCTAAAACGCGGCACTTTAACTGAATGTTCTTCCTCCGTTCATAGAATAAATGAGCGATTCTTTAGCGAATTTCGTCTGGATTTTAATAAAAAATCAAATCAGGGCAGTAGCCTACCTATTTTAAATATACACTACAAAAAATTATGATGATACAAAAGTAATTACAAAGTTGACAAGTTGGAATTCACACTGATAGTAGCCTATGAAAACCTTTCTTTCCTTTATCGCGTCAGCCTCCACTTTTCTGCTACAGATTGAAGCGCGTGACGCACTGCGCCGTTATTTTCAATGATAAATAGATGCTACTGCAAATTTCTGGTGTTATTTTTACGATTGTTTTGGGGCATTCTACAGCCCTTCATGAAACCTTTAAACACAGAATCCACCTCAGAGTGCTTTTAATTAATACACAAATCGTAAAAAAAAAAAAAAAATCGATTTGGTGGGCAAGGCAGACGTTTGGCTGAGTCCACCCCTGTACATTCCTACATTGTCTAGATAGAACCAGCCCGGTCCCATCTACCATCCTCCTGCAGGCCCCGGTCCTGTTGCTGCATAGGTGGGGTTCTGTGTGTCGCATGTATTCGTTGGGTGGGGGGTGTTTGGCTCAGGATCCCCACCGCATTGGACAGCATGCATTTTATCTACCCAACACCAGAGTGAGACCCGGGAGCTTCCCCTACCGAGTTAAAGGGAAACACCGACAAATCTGCACCGATAGGGGGCGTAAGTGTAACTCCCGAAGCCAGCATCGACGCAGTGCTCCTCCACGCCCTCTTCTCTTCATTCACTGTGCTCAATTTCAGCTTGTAGCAAGACCAAGGAAGCCTTGTCTAGAAACAGCACTGCAGTCATGGCAGTTTCAACAGGTTTGTCTATTTATTGCATTTGTATGCTTTTACAGATGAAACCGCATGGTGTGGCAAAATGAATCAAAAAAATCAAACTGCATGTTAAATAAGTGAGACTTTAGCTGTTAGTCGTGACTCGTAAGTAGGCTATAACTGAATAAAAAAATAGTTAATCCTGTTATTTGACAGGAATTACTATTAGGCTATAATTGCATATGGCTATATGCATATTCAGGAATTGCAGTCTAATTTATTTTATTATTTTTTTGAGGTATAGGCTACTGCTTATAGGCTACTTCGATGGTATTGTTTTAAAACTGTTTTCATACAGTTAAAATGAAAGCAATGCATTCTTTATAAGCGCCGTTATTGAAAGATGGATTTAATTAATTATTCACGAAAATTAAAATAGTCAAACCCGTATTAATTACTGTTCCCTTGAACACAAAATGTTGAAGAATGGCAGTCTCATTCTCTCATCGTTTTTTCTATACAATGAGAATGAAGAGTGGAATAACATAAGAGTGAGTATTATGATGAAAACGTTCATTTTAGGGTGGACTATCCCTTTAAGATTGAATGGGGGTGCTGAAAATCGCTAACTAAGCACTTGCCACTGAAGTTCAGCACCGCATCATTGCGATAGAGTCAGTTCACGAGATAAAACCTGTTTAATCCAAGGATATTACAAAGATGTGCATGTTAGTTTGTGGGTTTCTGTCCCCCCTCTCCATATAGATAATAAAAGCTCCGACTATTGGCAGTTTGAACAGCTTTCTATTGATTCTCATTAGAGGAAGGTCCACACGCCTGTGGAGACTGCAGGTTCTCAGAGCGCGTGCACATCTAACCGGCTTGTCGCTGAGCTTGCAGTCTCGTTATGCAGATAATCAATCACCCCATTTACTGACGCTTTCTGCTGAAAACATACAAGTTTGCAAGACACCTTGTGCCTCCGTCCATGCTCAAAGGCTAATTGAAATCTCTGTTGATGTGATTAATAATTCATTCGATTGCAGTCTGAATGCGTCTCAGCGTTATTCAAGAGCTCATTGACTCTGACAGTCCAGTCTACCATTCCCACATTTATAGATTTATTAAACCAGCATCTGTCCATGGTACTGAACTCTGTCCCCTGCATTGTTTTCCTTACTTCACTCCACGTCTTCAGTGGCATCACATTGCTGCTAGGTCCATATTAAGCATATCGATGTTTCTTTTGTTTCAGGGTTGTTAAATATATTTAAATGTATTTACAGAGTCATACATGGATTTGGACCAGAGTGCCTTTCATTATGGTAAGCAGTTGAGTACTGCATGGAGATATTTATTTATTTAAAACATTAAGGCCCGGTTTCACAGACAGGGTTTAGATGAAGCTTAGTTCAATGAGGGCATTTAGCTTTTATAAATGTGCCTTAGAAAAAAAAAACATTACTGGTGTGCATCTTGAGGCAAAACAACGGCACTGACATATTTGGGGCTGTCCAACGATTAATCGCGATTAATCACATCCAAAATAAAAGTTTTTTGTTTACGTAATATAAGTGGGTGCACTGTGTATTGTTATTATATGTAAATGAACACACATGCTTGTATATACAGTATTTAAGAAATATTTTCATATATTGTATATAGATATATATATATATATATATATATTATATATAAATATAAATATTTTATAGATAAATAATTTATTTTTTCTTAAACATGCATGCATGTGTGTGTATTTATGTGTATACAAAATAATTGGAGTCACATATATTATGTGAACACAAACTTTTATTTTGGATGCGATTAATCGCGATTAATCGTTTGACAGCCCTATATTTTCAGGTATATCAATGCAAGTTCCTTCCAGTTAAAACAGCTCAAACATGCATGTTAGTCTGGGACTATCTTAAGCCTTGTCTGTGAAACTGAGGCAAAGTCAGTAAAATAGAGTATTTCACCACTCTTGATTTCTGAGCTCAGATTACGAGACGTTGCGGACCACGGGTGTCATCCTAGCTGCGATTATGTTCGTTGGTGGAATTCTTATTGCTCTGAGTAAGTCACTAACATAATAACCATAGACATGTTTTAATATAGGATGTGCTGAATGAGTGCAAATAATAGTAAACGGCTGCGATGTTAGATTCTAAACATTTTCTGGTCACAAAGGATTCGCCTGACAATGATTGTAGTCAATCCCATTTGACCTCAATCAGCGCAGTGTAGGGCTATCAAACGATTAATCGCGATTAACCGCATCCAAAATAAAAGTTTGTGTTTACATAATATATGTGGGTGCACCGTGAATAATTATTTTACACACACATGCTTGTATATATTTAAGAAATATTTTCATGTATATACTGTATTTATAATATAATTTATATGATATATAAATATAAATATTTTATATATAAATTTTTTTTTCCTTAAATATACATGCATGTGTGTGTATTTATATATATACAAAATAATTATACACAGTGCACCCACATATTATGTATACACAAACTTTTATTTTGGATGCGATTAATCGCGATTAATCGGTTGACAGCCCACAGTGAACACAAGTCAATTCACCAAATCATGTGTCTGAGTACTTCAATATGAAAAATGTTGGTCAATTTAAATGAGATTGAGTTCATTCCCTCCAAACTGCCTGAACTGAAACGGAATTGACCCCAATCAAAGTCCCTTTCAATTTCATAATTCACCATCTCTAAATGTTTTTTGCCCCAACAGGTAAAAAGTGCAAATGTTCGAAATCCAAGTAAGCGGTTTTCACACGAATGTGCAGCCTTGACTGTGCATGTGGAATGAAGGATGAGGAAACGTCTTGAACGAAAAAAGATGTACATGGAATTGACGGTGCCATGAGTGTTCTCTGTAAAGCTCCTTTACTGTTTGAATGCAGCCCCTGGTTTCTAAATCGATTCTTCTTTCAGCTTCTTTCTTCTTTCAGCTCACCTACACTGTCTATTCATTCAAACAACAGCACGTTTCAAATCCCCGCCTCTCGTGCTCAAATGAGACAGCAGAAAGTTGGTTGTTCTTGTGCTTTCCAAATTAAAAACTGAACGATGTGCTCTTTGTGTGGGTAGGCAGTGTGTATCAAGACCGCATGTCCTCCTGAGAGGATCTGAATCGTCGTCAGGCACTTGCATACAAATCAACCGACAACACTTACATTTGATTAATGCGGATGAGCATGCTTGCTAAATATGGAGTGCTTAAGATGGACCAGTGTGGCTTATTGGCATAAACCGTATGATATTTTCCCCCACTACAGATCTAGTCCAGTGGAAAGCCCTCAACCACAGACAGAAGGTACAGTACGTCAACATTAATTAATGTTCTATTCAAAAATACTGTTCGAATTTATTGATTTTTCCTTTTTTTTTCCTTTCAGTTCCCCCTCAAACGGTGTAAAGCTGATGGTGCAACGGGGCGGCTCATTACAGTGAGAGGAAATGCTCAGACTCACAAAGTTACTTACAAGAATGTGGAGGAGAGTAGAACCCGCTTGACCTCTTTTTGTAACCTCAGCCTAAATGCTGGTGTGTGGCTGTATTTTTAGGTCGCTCAGTAGAACATGTGCTTCATTATGTCGTTATAGTGCTAATGATACCATTCATGATGCACCTCATATGACTGCGGTTATTTGACTTATGCATGAATAATTTGCTTTAATTGTGATTTATTATATGAGGGCTACCGGTAGATCTAAAGGCATTTTTTTGGAAATACTTCAGCAGACTGATTGAATGACAGATGTTTCATCTAATAGATTTCATATCCTTCAGACAGATACGGTGAAATTGAATTTAACACTCGTTTACATTTTAACAAAGAATAAACGACTTCTTAGCAGCTCTCCAGCATGGAACTATGCACAATCCTGTGTGTCGCCCTGTGTAATTTGTGCATGACGGGTGTCAACAAAATGTAAGGCAATTGTAAATTTGAGTATTTATGTCTTGTATTATTATATTTATTTATTATTTTAGTTCCTGAATATTTATTATTTCTATATTGAATTATACTATTGGATCCATTCCATCCATTTACTGAAAAAATAATCTAAACATACACAAACGTATTTCCGTTTACAAATTTTAAGGTCATTTATTGGATCAGAAAAGTCATTATGCTACTGCGCATGTCTTTGAGGAAGGGATAGAAACTAAGAAAGTCTTGCCTTAAGAACTAATGGTGTAACAATCAAATGCAGAGTTGCAAAGTAACTAGTAGTTACTAAACCCCTAATATAACTGAACATTAAGTAACTACTCACGAGCAGCTGGTGGAACCTAACCTTGGAGTTAAACATGATCTTATGTCAATTGTAACAGCATGAATGTTTATATACTGTTTTCCAGAAAACAAAGCACTTTACAGTAATACTTTAATTACTCCCATTACTAAAAGCAACTGATTTAATTGCAACTGGATGTATTTATGTCTCATGTACTAATAAATGAAAAAGCATCCATATAACTTTTAGAAAAATGAATCAGTGATCATTTGGCATGTTTTTTTTTTTTTTGGGGGAGGAATGCAGAAGTTTTTTTTGTGTGTGTGTGTGTGTGTGTGTGTATTATACTTTGAAATGAAGTTATTGAGTATGACTAAGCAGCAGTCGTAATGATGAGTTCGATACAGTTATATGAAAATGCCTTTTTATTATTCATCCAAAAATTAGTCGTCATACCAAAGACATTTGTCTCAATAAAAGATCCTGAGTTATAGAGGTTCATTCTTGGTTTTTACTTTGATTAGCTTTACTTAGTTTGGTTTGGTCAGACATATAATGCAAAACACACAAACACATTAATAAAACAATAATAATTTGCAGAAATACATGAATAAGTTGATCATAACAATATTGTAAAACATTGTACATTCAATCAAGCAGATTTTAATGCTACTTCATATTCTCACAGAATTCAGTTTTGTCGGATGGTTTCATTCATTAAGTGTTTGTGATATTTATTAAAAAATGGAGAAAACGTTCATAAATGAATGGAATTTGTTTTCAAACTAATTCTCATAAATCCACAGTCCTCTCTTTGTTTTAAAAGAAAGTGACATTAACGTGTGCTTTCCCTCATTTGAATTTCCATAGGGACATCATGGTGAATCATGTATCTCTCTGACTCAACAACAAAAACAACAACAACAACATCAAACGTTTAAAATCTTGATACAAGATCCCCACATACAAAAACCCTTCCTTACTATTCCACTGAATTAATATTGTTAAATCATATTAATGTTTGTGACTTGATTCTGAGAGGTCTTGAAGACAAAACTGCTGTACCTTCCTACCACAGAACCCCCTGACATTTCACCCCCTCGTGTATGACTCATGAAAATAACGCATTCACATACATAGTCGGATGACACATCTCCTATGATATCAAGTGTGCTGCAGTGCTGAGAAAAGTGCATTACATAGAGAACTGTCATTCATATCAAGCAATGAAATAAATAACTGAAAGTAACACGAACAAGAGCACGGCGAATAAAATGCAACACACACTAACCAAAAGCCATATAAATACTTCTGAAAACGAACGAAAATATCCCACTGATACAGTGATTTAAAAACTACATTTAAGCAAACCAATATGGTTTATAATTGAAGGTGGAAACTTGACTGGTACACTGACAGTCCTGTTGATTTCATTGAAATCTCTATTCAGGAACATAGTAAAATGCTGATGCTCAGCATTTAAATAAACCGGGAAGCAGCTTTATGGTACAGGATCGATGAATGATCCTTCAAAAAAGATATACTGTCATACTAAAATGATGCAATAGCTGAAAATCCTCATAAAAGGATACTGAAGACAAACCCATTCTTCTCCAGAGATGATCTAGATTCATTCTAGTCTAGGACGACTCTGTTTGGGTCGTTTTAAAAGCTCTTTTTGGTATTAATTATTTGACAAAGGTCCATTCAATCCATAATTGTTCTTATCTACATCTTGATGATGAACAGTTGATCGTATTCTCAAGATGTTTCATGTGCGTACTGTTATTTGCTGTAGACCTCTATTGGAGAAGATGGGGAACACTGGGACTGATCAGTCCAAGTCATTCTTGGTCCTGTAAGGATGTAAAACGCCGCCTCGAGGAGGCACTTTTCTTCTTCAAGATGAGCTTGAGCTGAGGGAGAGAAAGAGCGAGAGGGGGAAAAGTGGTGTCAGCTAGTGTGTTCTTCTCATCCCATGACATTACAAAACAATGGAGCCATGATCAAACTGTACAAGAGAATGTTTTTTATGCTTTGCATGGCACTGTACACACAAGCCCTTGCAGACTGGTTGTTATTAAAGGGTTAGTTCACCCAAAAATGAAAATTCTGTCAGTATTTACTCTCCTTCATGTTGTTCCAACCCCGTAAGACCTTCGTTCATCTTCGGAACATGAAATAAGATATTTTTGATGAAATCTGAGAGCTGGATCACTCCTCCATACTAGTCCATAGGGTTCTTGAGGGATTGAAACTTGCCGGCCTCGAAAAGTTATTAAAGACATCGTTAAAATAGTTCAAGTGACTACAGTGGCTCAATCTTAAGTTTATCAAACAACGAGAACACTTTTTGTGATTTTTACGTCACATGCATCACACACATGACCAGCGTTGGCCAATAGTGAGCCTACGTGTGACGTAGCTCTACGCAATTACGCTAGTTTAACTGACAAGAGGCGCAAAAAGAAGGAAGTGAATAGTTGAAATAAAGTCACAAAAACTATTCTCGTTGCTTCATAAAGTTGAGATTGAGCCACTGTAGTCACTTGGTCTATTTTATTGATGTCTTTAATAACTTTTCGAGGCCGGCAAGTTTCAATCCCTCAAGAAGCCTATGGACTAGTATGGAGGAGTGATCCAGCTCTCAGATTTCATCAAAAATATCTTAATTCGTGTTCCGAAGATGAACGAAGGTCGGAACAACGTGGGGGGAGAGTAAATACTGACAGAATTTTCATTTTTGGGTGAACTATCCCTTTAAATAAAAGCCTCTTACTCTCTCTCCTTTGTCTCCGCTCTGCAGTAAGTGAGCGGGCTGGTCGTTCTCCAGGTTGCGGATGCTGGGATCAGCACCACGACTCAGCAGCAGCCGGATCAGTTCCTCCTGATCGGGGCTTCCGTGCAGCCCCGCGGCCATGTGTAGGGCAGTGTGTCCGTGAGCCTGAGAGGAGACAGACAATATATAGATAATGATGTCACACTGTTGTATGCTGTAAGTTTATATGTACTAGAGTTCATTATAGTATGGGATAAATGTAGTGATGATTAAATCACATTATAGTCTGTGAATTTCATTGGGAGAGCAATTTGTCACTGAGCTTGCCTTGTCTGAGTTATTTTTCAGTGACTCTTTCTGCAAGTTGGACAGTTACTACAGTCGTCCCGTTAGGAGTCACCCCAGCAGTATTATCCACACAGCTTTTTACACCGGATTCCCTTCTTGACGCAACCCAACACTGAGACTCAGTCTCACACACTTTGGACTATGGGGGAACCAGAGCACCCATAGAAAATAGGGTGAGCATGTAAATTCCACACAGCTCAGCCAGGGCTCAAAGAGAGGACCTTCTTGCTGTGAGGCAACAGTGAGCCACCACACCACCCTAAATCATCCATCCATTCATTCAGGAACAAAATGAGTGAGTCACTGGGTCGATCACTCAACCGATTCATTAAAAAAAAAACCTCTGAATCATTTATGAAAGGGTTGTACTTATGTGATTCCTTGAATCATTCCACTGATTCATTCAAACGGGAATCGTACAGGAACTATACAAATGACTGTATGAGTGAGTCACTTTCTTTCATCCAACTGATTCGTTAAAAGAAAAATGCTTGATTTTTATAAGTGATTCAGTGAATCATTCAACCGATTTGTTCAAAAACACTGAATCATTCAGGAATCATTCACGAAATCAACACTTCTTGTTGTATTTATATGTGATTCAGGTGAATAATTCCACTGATTAGTCCATAAAACAGGGAATCATACAGGAAATATACAACTATATTAATTACCGTATGAGTGAGTCACTGGGTAGTTCACACAACTGAATTGTAAAAAAAAAACAACCTCTGAATCATTCAGGAAGGAAACAGGTGTTTTTTATGAGTGATTCAGTGAATCATTCAACCGATTTGTTCAAAAACACGGAATCATTCAGGAACAGAACAAATTACTGTAGCCTATTTAGGCCTATGGGTCGCTCCCATTTACTGTCTATGGGCCACTCAGCCGATTAAAAAACTCCACGGATTCATTCGGGATGAAACAGGTGACTTCACTGATTCACCTACTACTGGATATATTACCTACTACGTGTGATTTCGTAGGTGAATGAAAGTCAATACAATATCATGTTTCTCACTTTCATGTTGATGAACGCTTGCATATTGGAGATTTGGAGGCTCAGAAAGAAGCGCACGAGACGGATATTCCCCTCCTTCACTGCCAGGTGAAGAACGGTCTTGTTGCTTTTGATTTCCTGAAAAAGACAGAGGCACAGTCTGTCAACAAAGTGAAACTGAAGCAACATCAAAGCTAGCGTGGCATGAATGAAGTTTCTTCCTTTTGCGGCATTCTCAAAACGAAACCACGCTATATGGAACAATGACAAAATCAATTGTTTGTCTGTCTGTCAGAAAGGAACATTTGGGAAATATATCTTGTCTTTTCCTATACCCATAAATATCTACTATAATTTGTAAATGTCAGTAACTGTAATTTGTGTGTTTGTTTCTAGATAACTTAGCCATATTACACCATGTAAAGAAAAAACAACAACAACAGGTGCCCACCAATCATATATTCATTTAAAAAATAAGTTTTGTGGTGGGGAAAAAAACAGATGTTTATTTAAAACAATTTATTTTTATAAAATAGCAAGTAAGCACCAGCTAAAAAAAGTTTATTTGATATTTTCACTGTCCCTTCCACATAATGTCGGAGCCTAATTAAATTAGGAAAATTTGTTTTATATACATTTCAATAGTTTTGTGTCAGTTAAATATTTAATAAATTAACACTTTTATTCAACAATGATACATTAAATTGATCAAAGTGACAAGAGATTTTTACTTCAAATAAAAGCTCTTTTCTTTTGTGCTTTTTATTCTTTAAATAATCCTAAAACATGGTATCGCACTTTCCACAAAAATATTAAGCAGCACAATTGTTTTCAATATTGATAATAAGAAAAGTTTCCTGAGAACTAAATCAGAATGATTTCTGAAAGATCATGTGACTCTGAAGACAGGAGTAATGATGATGAAAATTCAGCTTTTCCATCAAAGGAATAAATTACATTTTAAAATATATTCAAATAGAGAACAATCTGTTCAGAAGTGTAATAATATTTCACAACATCACTGTTTTTACTGTTCTTTTGATCATATAAATGCAGCCTTGTTGAGCATTAGAGACTTCTTTCAAAAACTAAAAAAAACAACAACACAAATTCGCACAAACTTTTGAACAGTGTAAGATACATAAATAGCTTTATTTTGGCACTTTACACGTTATTATGGGCCATTTTATAATATGTATTATTTAATGGGTGTCTCTCTGTATATCCACCAATGGGTCCTTTAGCAATAATGAACACATTACTTCATTACCATTGGGATTAAAATGGAATTAAATGGAGTACCTGACTGAGAACTGAAGCCCCAGCATTTATAAGAAGCCTCAAACACATCAGTTTATCTTCT